AGTATGCTGTGTATGCCTGGACGGTGGGTCAAAGCCATTGAAGTGCAAGGTCAGCCACTCCTATCCTCCAGTAGTCCCTGTGTGACAGGGACACAATGTGGAAGTGTCTCTGGGTTGATCCATAGGCAGCAGCCATTTTTGGAGTGGGAGATGGGAAGTGAGGGATCTCTGCAGAAGGGGTTTGCAGAGGGTGGTGGTAGAGGGTTGCTGCCTCATTTCTTTGACTTGTCCTGACCTTATTGGAGGGTGTCTTTGTGGATGGAACCTTTACGCTTCTCCTGCCCCCTCAGCCCTGATGGGTCTTCCCAGCTGCCCTCTGCAGCAGTCCCAGCCACTCCATGGGGCACTGCATTGGAGGCATCCCACCACAACTCGATGGCATGGTTCCTTGAAGGACCCCTGACCCTGTCCTCTCTCCTATCCCACCTAGCCCACCCAGAGCTTCTGGCCAGCAGAAGCTTGGGGATAACCCTGAATGACCCCTTCCAGGACACACATTTGTCTTCTCCAAACCGGGATTCAGGTCTGGGATGCCCCTCCCAGATGACTGCAGGGACCACCACCACTACCTGGTGAAGTCTAACCCACAAAGACAGAACCTAAGAGCCTAAAGAGTGACCTCTTCCTAGGGGTTTTCTTTGTGCCTCTTTCCCTCTTCCTTCAGCATTCCCTTTCTGTCCTTACCCCACTCTTCCCTGGATGTCAGTTGATGCAGGGGTGAGACCTCTCCAGCCTGGAGAGTGAAGGGAAGTGCTAGTTGATGAGGCAGAGGGCACTACACAGTAATCTCAGGTAATGGTAGCTTTTCTGTTTTTCTCTTTTGCTTAGAATAGAGGGGGGTTCAGTTCCTGAACCATATTTACAATTTCTCTCCTCACTCCTTTCTTCTGGATTCCTCCTTTCCACCTTTTACTGTCCTAAGTCAGGGTGTAGTTTAGTGGGGCATACAATTGGAATCCATCTTTGCATATAACTACAACATGCTGCCTCAAGACTAAAGTTAAGGATAGAGAATCTTCCTCACTTATCAGTATCTTCTTAAAGGAGGTATTTTATTCTTTATTATTTATTAAGATTTTACTTATTTTTAGACAGAAGGGAAGGAGAGAGGGAGAGAAACATCAATGTGTGGTTGCCTCGCAAGATTCCCCTGCTGGGGACCTAGCCTGCAGCCCAGGCATGTGCCCTGACTGGGAACCGAACCAGCCACCCTTTGGTTTGCAGCCCGACACTCAATCCACTGAGCTACACCAGCCAGCGTGGATTTTTTTTTTTTTAGAAGGAAAAGCAATTCTAGACTTTCAGCCTGGTCCAGCCAAAAAAATCCTAGAAAGAGTGGGGGCAGGACTGAGGCCCCTCATTCCCTTACATTAATGTTGTTTCTTTAAAGTCATTAGATTTACTTTTCACTTCCTGAAGGCCCACAACATAAGCTATCAAACAGAATGGTTTGTTTTTATCTCTGTCTGGGCCTAGGAAGAGGTATTGGCTAGATTTTAAGGCTGGGGAATTAAGTTTACTGAATTTGCAGCTAGGATTCCTATAGAGCCTTTATAGCCATCAGCACAATCAAGGCCTGGGGGGCAGTTTCAAGTTTCAGCTCCAACACTTCCTGTGTGACAAAGCTACCTCAGCCTCCTTAAAAAAAAAAAAATAAATAAATAAAAAGCTTTTTACCATAGAAACATTCACATACGTGAGGTATGTCTGGAAATGGTCCAACCATTGTTAATATAACCAGAAGGATTTGTGTGACATTAATGTAACCTGGCAGCCAAGGAGAGTGGACTGGAATGCACATGCGTGAGCAATCACCACTTCACTGTACTAGGCAGTGGGGGTGGTAGATGCTGTTGAGTGAGCATGTGTACTGTGTGGCCATTGCAGTCAAAATGACTGAGTGAGTACAGCAACGAATCTGCATCAAATTTTGTGTTAAGATGGAACATTTCTCCTTGGAAACTATTTGGATGATTCAGAAATCTGCAGCTATGGGCAACTGGTGATTGGCAGCTTCATCATGACAACGTGCCCACTCATGGCATGCGTCATATCTCATGCTGAGTTCTTTTTGGCAAAACATCAAAACACCTAGTTGACTCAGCCCCTCTACAGCCCAGATTTGGTGCCCCATGATATTTGGCTTTTTTGAAAACTAAAATCATCACCCTGGCTGGTATAGCTCAGTGGACTGAGCGAGGGCTTGCGAACCAAAGGTTTGTGGTTTGATTCCCAGTTGGGGTACATGCCTGGGTTGTGGGCCAGGACCCCAGTAGGGGGCATGTGGGAGGCAACCACACATTGATGTTTCCCTCTCTTTTGCCTTCCCTTCCCCTCTCTCTAAAAATACATAAATAAGATCTTTTTAAAAATCATCTTTGTAAGGGAATAGATTTCAGACCGTCGATTAGATTTGGGAAAATATGATAGGGCAGCTGACAGACTGGGAGAACTGTGTGAGGTCCTAAGGTGATTACTTTGAAGGGGACTGAGACATCACTGTCTAATGTACAATGTTTCTTATATACTCTTCAATAATGTCTCTATTTTTCATAGTACATGGCTGGGTACTTTCTGGATATACCTCGTATATACAAAAATAAAGAAAATGTTATAATAAACCCAATGTACCTATTACCCAACTTCAATAAGAATCCTCATCCGAGGATATGTTTATTGATTTTTAGAGACAGAGGAAGAGAGAGGGAGAGAGAGATATCTATGTGAGAAACATTAATCGGCAACCTTCTATATGCATCCTGACCTAGGATGCAACCTAGATATGTGCCCTGATCAGGAATCAAACCTGCAACCTTTTGGTGTATGGAATGACCCTCCAACTGAGCCATTTGGCCAGGGCAGATATGCTTTTTAATTTAAGCCATGAATTCATACAGATACTTCCTAATTAAATCAAGACTACAAGGAATTTGTATAAATCAGATTTTAGATCTGCATCATTTTTCCTGTTCTAATACAAATAAACATAATTATTTTCCCCCAATGTTTTATTGTGGCAAAATATGCATAACACAAAATTTATCACCTTAACCTTTTTAAGTATACATTGTGTTATTAAATATACTAATAGTGTTGTGCAACTATTACTACCATTCATCACCATAACTCTTTTCATCTTATAAAACTGAAACTCTGTATCAGAGATTTTCAACTGGTGTGCCACAAGAATTTTTAAAGCATGTAACACCTATTTAGTCAGGGGACCTGACCTCTTTTCCTTTAGACTGTCAAATAAAATGATAACAGCCAACACAATGATAGCTGTCTAGTGCAAATAAATCAAAATTATGCCTATTTTTGTCAGATCGGCAAAAAAATATAGTTTGGTGTGCTGCAGAATTTTAGTAATTAGTTTAAGTTTGTCATGAGGTGAAAAAGGTTGAAAATCCTGCTCTAAACCCATTAACTTCCCATATCTCCCTCCTCCTCCCCAGCCCTTGGCAACCACCCATTCTACTATCTGTCTTTATGATTTTAACTACTTTAAATACCTTATATTAGTGGATCATACAGTGTTTGTCTTTTTTTGACATCCAGTAGTTTCTATACTATACTAGTTTCTATACTAGTTTCAGGTGAACAGCATAGTGATCAGACAACCATATAACTTATGAAGTAATCTCAACATAATTGTTTTAGCCTACACATTTCACCTATTCCTGACAATATGACTACTGAATACAATTTAAGATTTTATGGCAATTTTTTAAAATGGCAGTTGATTTTATCCTTAGGGTAGATCTTTGGATGTACAATTAAATCAGTGTGTTTTCAAGTCATTCAGAAGAGTTCCCTTCTCTGCATTTAGGCCACCAACTAGACAAACATTTAGGTTCATGTGTTTCACTTGACTTTCAATCTTTAGGGTCTGATTTTTTAAAATTAATTTTTATCACATAATCTTGTAAATCATGTTTCCACAGTCAAATGAACAAAGTATATTTAAAGTCTTGCCTCTTTTCCCTTCATTCTATTCTCTCTTTTCCAAGTTAAGTAACCATTGAAAATTTTAAATGTTATACTTCCATTAAAAAAATGTATTTATTTACATTTGTAGCTCCCTACTCCCTTTTACAAATGAAGAGTAGAAGGAATGAGCTTACTTTATTACTGACTTCAGCAGGTAAGCCTCTAGTGTTCACCACGAGATCCTCGAAAACTTTTGTAAAACGAGGGCAACGCTATCGATTCTATTTGATCTTCCACAGCATTTCTCAGGAAGATAAAGGATGTGAATACTCTCAAACTTAAAAGTGATACACAAACATGCCTGCTGAATTATTAACTAGTTTTTGGTAGATCCTCGGAGTCCTGAACAGAGGTTCATAGAATTGAGAGGACCTGCCTAAGGAACATAGGGAATGAGCAGACCTCCACCCTTCTGATTTGGAGTCTAGGGGTTGGATAAACCCACGAAACCCTTCTTAAAAAAAACACCCCCTCCTCCCCTCCAAAAAACCTGTATGCAACATACAAATATCTATTTTTATAGAGACAAATAGTTTAGGAGACCCACGAAAAGGAAAAAGTCAAAAAGCCTCATGGCTGAGTGAGGCAGTTAACGCTTGGGTAACCATGGGGCAGGAGGCTGGTCAGTGAGCCCTGCCCTCAAACTAGGAAGCCCTGGTCCTAGCTCAGAGGGGAGAGAAAACCTGGAGATGCTGTGAAGTCACGGAGTAGGGAGGTCCAATACAGGAAAGCTGAACAGTTAAGTTAAAGCTGTCCCATTTAGCATCTCGACAGGGAGGGCTGACACACATGGGACTCCAGCAGCTCTCCCGGTGAAGAGATCAATGGGTAAGAACACCGTGTGGTAGATTTTGAAAGGAGAAATGGTGCTGATGAGGATCCGTAGGACTTCCACAGGCTTCAGCCCTAAAAATCCCAGCCTAGGGGTGGAGCCGAGGTTGCGGTAAGAAGCCCGCTAGGGACACGAGGAGCAACGGAAATGGGAAATGACGTTTAGGAGTGTCACTTGCGTAGGGACGAATGGTTTCCGGTAATGGTGTTTGGGAGGAGCCGGGGAAAGGGGGTGTGAGCGCATGCCCTGTGACCCTTGGCCCCAGCAACCCCCTGCAGCCAGTCCAAGATGATGGGCTGCGAAGAGTCAGAGATAAAATTGGTGAAAGGGGAAGAAGCGGTGGTGGCCCCGGGACCACCTCCAGAACCCCGCACCCCGGACTCCGGAGCCCCAGTACCCGAGCCCGGCCTGGATCTGAGCCTGAGCCCGCGGTCCGACAGCCCAGAGCGGCAGACCTGCAGCCCGAGGCGGCGGAATTGGGGGGCAAACCAGTGGGGCGGGGCCCGCAAGGGGCGGCAGGTGAGCTGGCGTAAGGCCTGGCCGGCAGCCTGCCAAGGATCCTGCACCCATTTCTTCACCACCTTCCTCTCTGCTACCAGGTCCGCTTCCGCTTGGCGCCACCCTCACCCTCCCCGGCCCGATCCGAGCCGCAGCCGGTCACCGCAGCACCTAACGAGGAGCCTGTGGCACCGCAGGACCTGGGTGCGCCTGCGCAGCACAGCAGCTTGGCTTTGAGCCTCGAGCTGCAGGCTGCGCGGGCAGCAGCCGCGGAACAGTTCGATGCCACAAAGGCAGTGGAGGAACAGCTGAGAAAGTCGTTCCAGACCCGCTGTATCGTGGAGGAGAGCGTAGCAGAGGGTGAGGGGGACAGACGGCTGGCCAGGCGCGGGAGTAGGGGTGAGAGGCGCGGCTCACCCCCACTCCCCCTGCGGTCTCAGGGTTGAACGTGCCCCGCTCCAAGCGGCTTTTCCGGGACCTGGTGAGCCTGCAGGTGCCGGAGGAACAGGTTCTGAATGCTGCGCTAAGGGAGAGGTTGGCGCTGCTGCCAATCCATGCTCGAGCCCCGCCCCCAAAGGTGAGGGGTTTGGTCTTGAACCCCCTTCCGTGTTCCCTCCCATCTTTTGCCGAGGGTTCTTCTCTCCCGAGTGTAACCTTGCTTTGGACTCCAATTCCAACAGGAAGCACCTGGGCCAGGGCCAGACATGACTATGCTGTGTGACCCAGAAACATTATTTTATGAATCTCCACACCTGACCCTGGACAGCCTTCCCTCCCTAAGCCTTCAACTCCGGCCGCGCCCTTCAGAGGATACCTTTCTCATGCATCAGACACTGAGGCGATGGGAAGTGTAGACCTGGAGGCTCACAGAATTGCTATAGTTAATAAGTATCAGAATAAAGTGGTTTTGCTAATAAATGGGACTTTTTCTTGAAAGCTTAAGGTGGGGTCAAGCCGCAGGCTGGAAGCTGCCTGGAAGTTTTTTGCCCCCTGCCCTTCCTTTTTTTAATGAACTCAGTAATGACAAGTATAAAACTGGTTGAAGCCATTTCTTCCCATCTTCCTGACTAGTCACACCTACCACCTTTGTTTTTGATAACACTCCACTTGTTTCTTTGCACTACTTGTTTCTGATCACTTTAACAGGCGGGTCTCGGCCCACCTGACTCGGGGAGCCTGTCAGGTAGTTACTAGCACCTAGTTATTTAAATTATCCCCTTTTACCTTCAAGAGCCTTGCCCATCTTTACACCTGACCAAAGAGTACTCACTGTTAAATGTCCAAAGCTCCAGGGACACTTGACAAGCTGAAGAGCTACATATTAAGTTAAACTGCCTAACAGTCTGGTTCCAGAGCACCAAAACAGGAGGGTACATGTAGGTGGGTCCTATAGCAGGGAGGTGGTCTGACCCAAAATGCCTTTTTCTAGCTCTGTCAACTTCACTGTTAAGTTCCACCAAAGTTAGCCTTTTGCCAAAACTTCCACAAAAAAAAAAAAAATTGTCAATGGGTTTTCATTATGGAGGTGTGGGGGAAAACTTTAATTTTCACATCAAAATTTGCATTATACCCTTTTCCTGACTAGGGTTCTATAAAGTTATGTGTAGATCTGGCAATCCATTATCCTCCCAACCACTGAAAAACCCTGAAACTAGTTTGGGCAGAGAGGAAGCAGCACAGGTGGTACTGGTGCACCACCCCTTCCCAGCAGCTAAAAATGCTCGACATAGGTGTGGGGGCCACTGCCCTAAACAAGTTTATTGTGCTGTTCTTACATTCCAAACCCAACCCCCTCTTCCAATGGGGGACAGCAGAGGGATATTCACAGTACCTGCGTGCCTCCCCACCAAGCTTCCCCCTCACAGGCCTCAGTCCATCTACCCATAGTCCACTGAAACGTAGCTAGAGACAAGGGCTGAGGAGAATGAGAATCTCCCCTTGGCAGAACAGGAGGAAGAGGCTAGAGAACTTGGTAACTCCCATCTCCTGTGCCCTAGGAGAACAGAGGTCGGCAAACAGTCCATGCCATTCAGCCCAGTGGGCTGGGAGAGAGGAAGATGGTAACCCCAGCACAGCTGGGCTTGCTGCTTAGGTACCATAAGTATAGGGAGGAGGCTGGGGCAGCAACATAGAATAAGCTTTCTGTGCAGATCCAAGAAAGGAAACTTTTTGGAGCCAGAAAGGAGAGACTGGGACACTTTCTTTCTCCCAGGTCCTTAGGAGCAGCAGGCAGCTTCTTGACACACTCTCTTCAGGGTGCCGTTTAGTGGCTGGGGGAACGGGCCTTGTGGAACAGGTACACAGGACGCTGGAAGCCTGAGAGGAGAGTATGCAATCAGGAGGGTATCACAGGACTTCATGACTCCACAGGGTCTGTACCCTCCCAGCCAGGACCAGGACCAGTCTCCCCTCCTCCCGAACAAAATAAGACAGCTTTACCTTTGCAGGTGTTGTGGGGTGTGGCCACAAGCTCATAGCTGGAGAAGCCCACCTCTGGGGATGTCAGGTAGGAATTGAACTGCTCCGGCTTCAACTGGATTCGATAGTAGTTCTTGTAGGTTGTTTCCTAGGGAGAAGAACGGGATCATTTCAGCTTGCTGCCTTCTCCCTTGATGGAGAAGGATACTTTGCACCTTGTTTAGAAAATCCTCTTTATGATTCCTCGAGGACTTTTTTGCTTAACTAAATGAAGAATACCCCCAACTTCCACTGAAACTCCAACTCACTGTGAGAGTCTTTCTCTTGCTGTAGGAGGACCAAGGTTGGGGTTCCAGGACCAGGATACCCCCAGGGCGTAGGTGCCGGTAGATTCGGCGAAACATGCGCTTCAGCCCCTCATCTCCCCAGTTCAGATGCACCCACTTGGTGAGGCTGAGACAAAGCACCACGTCATACTCGGGTTTTTGGGCCTCCACCAGCTCATCTCGATCCAGCACATAGTTACCCTGAGGGCAAGAATTGGGGATCATCAAGGTCAACAGACACATTAAAAGCACCACTGCCCCCCCCGCCCAATTCATATTATAGCCTCACTTTAACCTTTGGCCACAATCATCTGTGATACCCTCGGTCTCATTTTCTTGTATGGTATTGGTAAACCAAACAAAAAGGAGCCTGGGTAGTTTAAAATTGAGCAAAGTATCCATGAGATCTCCACGGTTGGGGTGAAACTGCAGAGAAAGAATGCTGGAGTTCCTCCAAGACCCTGTTCATTAAGCTGAGTGACTCAACGTTATACAAAGGGACCTAACTGCTGGTTCCTTCTCAGTAGTTAGGGCTGGCAAGGTTTCAAGCTTGTTCTTTCTTCCTGAGAAGTGAAGAGCCCATCCCTTAAAAAACCTTTTCCAGATAAGCTCATTACCATCCTCTGGAAAGTCCATTTTTCCAATACTACCGCAGATGGTGCAACTGGGATGTTTTATGAGGAGTTATGTGAGCAGAGGTTAGACTGAAGACATGTTACTCTCCCCTCATGCAGAGGACTCTGACTCTTCTCCATTCCACAATCTAGGGTCAATGTGGAGATGATCCAAAGCCAAGCAACCTAGGTTCCTGACCATGACACTCTTCAACAAACTCTGTATCTAACACAAAGTCCCTATCAAAGGACAGAAACTGTAAATATTAGCCAAGACCCTAATTCTCCCCCTACCCCAAGACATTCAATGTCTGATACCTTGCTGGAGGGCAAGTTTCCATATGGACCAAATTCTCTACAGAGCATTAGCAGTAACCCCCAAGAAAAGGCAGATTGGTCAGGATTAGTCCACGTAAGGGATCAGGGCAAAAGGAGTCAGATCCCATTTGGGGGCTAGCAGTCATGAGAAAGGAGCCCTGGTAGAGCCCCCACCTTTCCACATTGTAAGAGAGACACCCAGTGGAATTAGTTGCAGATTGAGACCCCTCTTGATGATCTGGTTCTCTGGGTGAGGAATACATGCACAGAAACCCCTCTGGCTCATGATGTTCTCCTGCCTCATTCTCTTTTAAACTCATCCTCATAACTGCCCCTTATCCCAAGACCCTCTTACCGTGACGAAGACAACATTGTTGGGGAAGACTGATGTGTCTGCTCCATCCAAGGGCACTTGAGGTGCAGCAATGGGACCCCGGCTGGCTGTCAGTGAGGCTGGGAAGCAGCTCCTCTTTCGGATGGTTGTGGTCCCTTCCTCACTCTCTGCCCCTGGGTCCCCCTCGGAAGTCTGGGGTGGTAGACGCAGCTCTTCAGACAAGTAGTGTCGGATATTTTGGCGGGCCGAGTGGATGAGCCGGGGATCAATATCCAGGCCTACCATGCGGGATGGGCCCCACTTACAGGCAATGCTCAGGGTCAGATGGCCCACATTGCATCCCAGATCTAGGACGTCCCGATCCCGAAACCACTCAGGTTTCAACACCCGAAGGCGACCATCCTCACAGGAAGGATTCCGGTACCCATAGTACTTGGTATAATTCCCATACTGGAACTTGCGCTGTTGCTTTTTGAAACCTGCTGCAGGTAGTTGATGGAGGTGGTGGCGACCTCCCCCGCTCCCTCGGCTCTTTTCCTTGGAACCCTGGCCTCCACCCCTAGCCCCTGCCTCTGACTTGCTGGAAGTCCTGCGACGTTTTCGATGTCGTGAGGAGGAAGACGGGAGTGCAGAGGTAACCGAGGCAGCTGGAGGAGCTGAATGGGAGCCTGAGGGACCCTGTAGGGCAGACGGAAGGGGAGACACGACCTCATCCCTGCAGTTGATGGCTGTGTTGAGTTCATAGGGCTGGGGGGCATCTCGGTTCTGGCCCCTATGCCGTTGCTGCTGTGTGGTCCCCTCCCCATGGAGTGAGGGCGTGAGGGGGGCTGTGGGCAGCACAGAGTGGCTATCATTCCCTCCAGTTGCCTGCTGCTGCTGGTGGTGCTGTCCCCGGTGTCTATGCCGCTTCCGACCAGTCTTGAGTGGTGAAGCAAGCACTACTTGGGCCTCATCAGTGCAAGTATTGAGACTGAGCGGGTCAGTAATATCTTTGGGGATGAGAATCTCCACTGGATCTCGCCCCTTGGCCGGAAGTGGGGATGACTTAGGGGTCTCTGCATTGAGTGCGCGGCTCACTTCTTCATCCAGAAGACTATTCAGGTTCAATGGATCAAAGATATTGCCCCCCAGGAGGAAGTTGGAGGGTAATACAGAGTCACAGTCCGAATTAACCCGCCTGCGCCTCTTGAAGGCCGGATGTTTGAAGCCTCCACCACCTCCCCCTACATTGCAGCTATTTCTCCTCTTGCCCCCACCTCCCCCAGGGGGCCGGTGGGGCTGATAGCCATTACGGGGTCGAGGCGGGGCAGGGGGGCCCAGTTCTGTTCCGCCACCTCCCCGTCGATCCTCCCCCACGTCCGGAGGAGCGGCTCGCCCGTGGAGATCCGACAAGCGGGCCTCCCCGTGCGCCTGGGGGCTGCCCCCTCGTTGCTGCTGCGACTGGCCACCCCGAGGGGTGGATGAAGCCCTGGGGCTCCCCTTGCACGACCCAGAAGCCGGGACCCCAGCTGAATGTGCGCGTGGGCCCGGCCCGCGCTGCGTCCCGCCGCGGAGCTCCCCGGAGGCGGCCTCTCGGTGCAGTTGCACTGAGGGGCTGCCCCCTCCGCCTGACTCCTCTTTTAGTGGCGGCGGCGGGGCAGGGACCAGAAACAGCTCCTTCTCCGCCGCCATCTCTATCATTTCCTCCCCTTACTCTGTCCCAGTCGAGGGCTACGAGGGGGGAACCAGGGGCTTAATCCCCCTCCTTAGACCCCGCTCCCTTCCCCCCCTTTCCCGAGTGCGCGCGCAGCTCTGCTCTTCTCCCCTAGTCTCGCGCCCAAGCGCCGCCCCCGAAGCGCGCCCCACTCGCCCGCGAGACCAAAACAAGATGCCCGCGACACCCGAAGAACTCGAGGAAGCAAACGCGCGTGCGCCGACCCTTTTCTCCTTTACCACTACCGCTTCGCCGCGAGCGCGCAGTACTGGAGCGCGTTCCTCTCGCCCCAGAAATACGCATGCGCACTCTGCCACCACCCAGGTCGCGCGCGCATCCGAGTACGAACCAACTTAACGGCTCCGGGAGTTTAAATATAGCCCCCCTCAATCCTCCCCAAAAGCCCACAACCCCAAACTGACACCCGACTTCCCTTCGCAGCTATGTTCGTGCCTACTGAAATCCTTTGTCTCTGCCGCGCGAACCCACCCACCGTAGGCGGGGGACGGGGAGCTGGTGTGAAAAGGTCTCCTTGACACCCGACCCTTGTTCCTGAGGAATGAGTCTCAGCGGTCTCCGCCCGGCTCTAAACCCAACAACCTCTCTACCCCGCCTCCTTCCTCCCCCTAGCGGGAAGCGCCTGCGCACACCCTTTTGGGCTTGCGCGGGTAGGAGCAGCACGTGCTGAAGATGACGCCCCGCCCTCCGTTTTAGGGGCGGGGACTGTTACGTGCTTCCCCAGGTTTGGTACACACGTAATTTGCGTCAGCACGACTCGGAGGGGCCTGGCTAAGGAACAAGGTGGTCCTCATGAATTATTCATTGTATGGTCGTTCCCTTTTGCCCACCTACTTATGTTTTTTGGAGGGGTGAAGTGGTGCACATTGAAAGTAGAGTAAGGGAAGGAACGTTGTGTACTGACCGTCTTCCAACAAACTATTCTCAGTAAAATACGATAGGTCATTTTAACTAACTACCCTCCCCCCGGAAAATATTCTCTGCTGAACTGAAAAAACAAAACATCAGCACCAAAACAGCCAATGTGGTCCAACTTCCTCTTTCTCGAAATGGCCGAATTGTTCTCTCCAGAGTTCTCCAAAGCGCGATCACCTGGGGACACCACGCCCTTACCTCTACCTCCACACCCAAATCCCCGACACCAACGCCTCTGCACACCACCCAGCGCCAACGCGCAAGCCCCTAGCCCGTGGACTGAGACCCTACAACCACCACCATCTCGCATGAAGGCCTTCCCTAGGTCTTTGGCTTTGCGCCGCCTTAAAGAAAAAAAGAGTGGGTGGGGAAGAGGTTAGGTCTGCTGGGGCCGCTGCCTCGGCCAATGGGAAGCTATTCGAAGTCCTTTCTACTGGATGCTAGGTGGCACCTTCTCCCCGCCAACGATGTTTGGGGTGCGGGTCTTGTGGCTGAGAAGGCAGTAGAGGCGAGAATGGCGTTATGGAAAGTCTCAAACAAAATATTAAAATAAAAGTGCGAGGGAAACTAGAAGGAAGAATAGGAATCAGGGAACGAAAAGAAGAAAAAGGCAGTTTGGGATAGAGAAAAGTTAGTGAGAGAACGGTGCAGTTCCTTAACGATCAGGCGCTGCTCCTGCCGCCTAAAAAAAAAACCGAGCCCAACCAGGATTATGGGATTTGTAGTTTTAGAGGGCATTCGATTGGAAGATGGTGGCACTCCCTCAGCTGCGCAAGCGCAAACGCATCCTCCAGCTGCGCATGTGTCTCGTCACAGAGTTCGCCGCTTGAGGGAACTGTGGAGTTTCTGTGTGGCCTCGTGCCTTTTCTTGGTGGCGGGAAAAGTCGGTCGAGGTTGGAGGAGCTTGCAGAATTGCTGCAGTAGCTCTTGCTGCTCCTCGTCTTTAGGTCCTCCTCGCTCCAGAAGGTAGCTAGCTCTTTTTCGGTTTCAAATGAAGGTGTTATGCGCGGCCATTCCCGGAAGATTTCCTCTGAGAAATTTTCCCTTGAGGGCGACAATCAACTTACTCCTGCCCCTTGGAACCTCTAACCTCAGATTCATCCCCAACCAACAAGCAAAGTAACCCCATACATTCAAACTGGTGGGCAACGACGGTCTGAGCCAGAGTGAGGATCCTGGTGCCTCAGCGGGAGGGACAGCTGAGGGGAAATTCTGTCACGGTGGGCTTCTGGATGGGGAAGAGATGTTAGAAGGACACTGTTTTACTCTGTGAGGAGCGTCAAGGACTTTTGACTCTGTAATACCTCGGGTCTTAATTGTCCTTAAGAAAGATTTGGGGAGGGTAGATCGAGGAAAAATGGCGGTCGCCAAAAATTCTTACCTCACGTTTTAAAGGTGGAATTAAGTCCTTACACTGTGTCAAACCTTGGAACCGTGAGAGGGAAAATGGTGCGAGGATCTGGAAATTGATGGAGATGTGCTCCTTTAAGCGAAAACAACACAGAAAGGCTAGTTGAAGGTCGTAATGGGCCCACGTGGAAGCAATTTTGGCAGTCCATATCAAGAGAAGATAGCAAAAACAAGATCCGAGTCTCGAATGAGTCTGTATTTTTGTGACAAGTGGCTATATTTGTGTGCTTCCTTACACTCTCTAAACCAAGAAGCTTTAGTTCACCGTTAATTTATAAGATTCTGTAAAAGGTTCAGTTCAAATACAGTAGTTATGACAATAGTGTCTTGTCAGGTAGTCTAGTACAAGCAGTAGGGTAGTAGGAATCTTTTTGTCTTGTTAAATGTTTTAAATCATGCTCACTGAACACGGGGAGGGGGGAACAACTATTACTAATCGAGGCATGTAAATAAGCAGAGGTCTGCATGCCATTAGACATTAAAGCCAAAAGGAAATCCAACTCCAGCTTAAAGGAGATTTTAAATGTAGTCTTTAAATACAGGTTTTTGAGGCTCACTGAGTCTGTGTTAAAAGAGTTTATTTTTATTCTCTTGGACCAAGGATTCCAGGAACAGTATAAGGAGGGAAGAATCGGGCAGTTAGGAGGGAGAAATTTGTGAACACGTTCTAAATGGGGGGAGGAGGGGGAGAATTAATACTTTTTGTAAAATATTGATAAGGCTGAATTAAGTTATTTAGCTAGACTAGTTCTCAAACATGTTACACACTTAAAAATTCTAAAGGACTCCAGAGATTGGTTTATATTTATTTATATATTTTTGGTGTGAATACATTAGAAATTATACGGAGTGTTTAATATCTGACCGAAAGGCAGAAATTGAATGGAGAAAATTTTAAACATTACGTTAAAGTAACAAGAGTAAATCCATTACATGTTAACATGACATTTTAATGAAAAATGTATTTTCCTATATGAGAGGAAAGTTAATGAGAAGAATGGTGTTTTACATTTTTGCAATGTCTCTCATGTCTGGCTTAATAGAGGATAGCTGGATTTTCATCTGTTTCTGAATTCAATCTATTATAATACAAGCACACTTCGTTTTGTTGCACTTCCCTTTACTGCACCTCACAGGTGTTGTGTGTTTTTTAAAACAAATTAAAGGCAAGACCTTCCACCAACAAAAAGATTACTGCTTACTTTATTGTGGTTATTTGGATGGAACCAAACCCACAATATCTCCAAGATATGCTGATATCTTGTTTTGGTTGAAGTATCAGAGAAAATCTAGCCTAACACAGATAAGCAGTTGGAAAGGGGAAGGGACCACCAAGAGTCTTTGGATCACACTTTGAGAACTCTGCTTAGCCAGGTGTTTTTATCTTAAAACCAATGTGATGATTTTTAGTGTTTAAATGAAAAAAAAATTATTTCTTGGAATACCTTGCTCACCTTCTCTTGGTTCCCTGTATATATTGTTTCTAAGTTCTTCTTCCTTACTTATTTATCTTTCTTTTTTATGTTGGATAAGTAACATCTGAGTTATGGAACTTTCTTTTACTTTCAAAAATGAAGATTAAACGGATTTTCTCCCCTCTCTTGCCTTTAATCTAAGAAAAGAGAGATTAAAACTGAAATTGTTATTCTTGGGTCTGGAGTCCCCAGTCATTTAGTAGCTGGTCAGATGAAAAGTGGTAGTATTTTGTGTATTTATTAACTATTTTAAAATATTTCTCTCTGAACTGCATTTAAATATTTGTTGTGGAAGAAAATAATTAGTCTGGAACAGAGAAACAAACACTTGAGTTGTCAGTGACTTCTTGTCTTTCCTTTCTCTATTGATCAAGTTAAAGATTTTCTTGAAAAGTACTTTATCACATTCCCACTCTAGATTAAAAGGGAACTATTATATATCACTGCTTATAGATTTACAACAGTTTTTAACTCAGTGATGATCCATAATTTTATCCAGTTGGTTGTAGCTTTAGTAACACACTTTTGCCTAGAGAGGTCACTATGAGCTTAGATAATGATTTGAACCTAACTCAGAAATTTTTGCTTTTTAAAAAAATTTTAAATAAAAAGAAAATATTTTATTTATTTATTTACTTTTAGAGAGAGGGGAAGGGAAGGAGAAAGAGAGGGAGAGAAACATCAATATGTGGTTGCCTCTCGCAGATCCCATACTGGGGACCTGAACCACAACCCAGGCATGTGCCCTGACTGGGAATTGAATCAGTGACTATTTGGTTCACAGGCCAGCATTCAATCCACTGAGCCACACCAGCCAGTGCAAAACTTTTGCATTTTAAGTTGATCTAAGTACTCTTTATTTAAAGAATTTATAATTTTAAAAAATCACCTTTAAACTGATAGATAATATGTGTATGTTACAAAATGCTAGAGATGCACAAGTGGGTACAGTACAAAGCTCCCTTCCACACAGCTCCATTCTCTAGTGGCAATTTTGTCCATTTCTTGTGTTCTTCCAGAGATGGTTTATGGATATACAAGCATATTATAAAGATGTACATTTTTATAAATCAAATGTCATCTCAAATACACTAATTTTCATTTCCAATTTAGTATAGCTCTTTTTGTAATTTAGATTACCCTCTAAAGGGTAATCTTTTAGAGGGACTTTTAGAATAGAATGAGAGACTTTTCATTATTATTTTTTAGAATTCTGGAATCTGGGAGAAGATACATGTTTTTCATTTGCAGTCAAATTAATGTTCCTTTTGCAGCCAATTTTATTCAGTATTTTAACTTCTATTTAGGATTATCTAAAAAGAAGGAGACCAGTTTGCTGTAGTGTTTCTCTTCCCAATTTCCCATTTGCTTTTTTTCTTCAAGCAAGTAAATTTTGGTGTTGATGGTGGTAAGTTATGATGCAAAAAGTGAGAAAATGTGCTCCCTAGTATGAAGAAAAAGTAGTTATTACAGAACAGTACATCAAAATTATCCATATTTATAGAATTAAGAAAAGGAACAGAAAAGTACTAAAAGATAATTTAAAAATACTTTACATTCAGCTGTGTTGTGGCCACACTAAGTCAAGCCCCAACACCTTCTGAATTTATCTTAGGAACCAGGGAGAGGAACTCTACATTCTGAACAACTGAGTGTTTACTATAGCTTGAACATTTGAAGGTCTTAAAAATTTCAGATCCTTTACAGGGAACTGTATGTGAACCAAAAGGCCCATTTTATGCTGCTTTTGGGTCCCTAAAGAGGGAAAGTGTGGGTGGGAGATGGCAGAGTTGGAAGATTGTGTTTCAAGTCTAGGGCCTTCAAAGTACTCAAAACCAACAGCCAGAAATAAGATCATAGAGAAGAACAGATGTGGTATTAGTAGGATTTGAAAGCCAAAGACCTGGGTTCAACTTGGCTCAACCATGTATTAACAGTGAAGTTTTGGGCAAGCCATGTAACCTCTCTTTGCATGTTTTTCATCTGTAAAAAGGGGAGATGGCATTTCATGACCTGTAAAGACCCTACCACATTTACAGTGTTTAATTGTAACTGTTACAAAAATAAAACTGGGTAGAGGATTATGAGTTTAGGCTGTTAAAACAAAAAGCTCAGTAGAAATAATATCAATAGTGGAAAGTATAAATTGGAAAAATGTATAAATTGCCCTGGCTGGCATAGCTTAGTGGATTGAGTGCAGGCTGGGAACCAAAAGCATCGCAGGTTCAATTCCCAGTCAGGGCACATACCTGGGTTGCAGGCCACGGCCCCCAGCAACTGCACATTGATGTCTCTCTCTCTCTCTCTCTCTCTCTCTCTCTCCCTCCCTCCCCTTTCTAAAAATAAATAAATAAAATCTTAAAAATATATATTAAAAAAGAAATAACACTTTAAAATAAAAAAAAGAAAAATGTATAAATTACTGGAACATCACCCACAAGTTGTTTCAGCAGTCTGCTGGCCCACAGATGTCTTATAGCTATCTCTTCAGCACCTAAAACACTAAGGACTATTGCTAATCTTTAAAATAGTAGCTAATTATGCCCTAAAGAAATCCTGAACCCAAGAAGATAGAAGAGAAGAAATTTTAAAATCAAGTTCAATCAGAGTCATAGTAGTCAATTTCTTTTTTTTTAAAAACAGGCACAAAGAAAGTGTAGCTTCTGAGCTGAATGATGACAACATTGCACAGTAAAGATGGTGAGTTAAAAGTGAGGGAGGTTTCCTTTATACATTTCTCTCATTTTTCCCTTCTGTCTCAGCTCTTGGTCATCTGGACCAAGAGGTTCAGATTCTCACCAAAGGGAAGTTCAAGTCACATATATTTTGTGTTCACTCTGTTAAAGTTACTATGTTTCTAGATACTTTTAGTGAAATATTTATCTTAGAAACAGTTTTGCTCAAGGAATGTATGAACTAGTAGGGAGAGAAAAGACATTGTAATATCTATAACATAAATGTGAATGGGGTGAATGCCACCAGACAGGTACAAAGTGTTATAGAAGAAAGAAAGAGATATTACTTATACCTGGAAGAATCACTACAATTTTCATTATGTCATTTGTAGATTTTGATTAGTTTTTTTCATTTTCTCTTAATTTTCTATAAATTTTATCCAAAGTCAAAATAAATTAAAAAATTTTTCATGTCTGAATAATTCAATTTCCCACATGTTTATATTTATCATATCTATTACCTTTAAATTACTCAGTGGTTTCTAAGCCTGGAAGTACATCAGAATCATCTAGATAGTTTTGTAAAATTACAGATCTCAGGCCTAATTTCAAAATATTTCATCAAAATCTCTGGGCAGGGGAGGTGAGGGTGGGTGAGGAGAGGCCTAGAAATTTGAGTCTGTTTAACTCTCCAGATAATTCTGATATGGTCAGTTAATGGGCAGTGTTTAGCAGTTTCTGTGCTAGGCTTTATATTTCATAAATTCCATTTGATGATCAAATTTCTTTCAGAATGTGGGAAAGGACCAAAAAAACCCTTTGCCCCTCCTGCACAAAAATTGCATAGCCTGATGCCCTATAGCCCTAACTCACCCAAAGGGGAGACTCTGGGGATTAGTTCCCAAGAGGCAGAGGCCAGGCTGAACCTTCTGAAGGCCAGGTTAGAGAAGAAGGAGGAGAAAGCAACCACAGAGAACGGTGCAAGCAGCGGCCAGGAGGAAAGAATAAAGGCTCAAGACAACAAGCAAGCAGAGAAGAAAGAGAAGGTATCAGTTATATTGTTGGGCTCTAGAGGGACAGTTTCTTCTAGTCATCTGCCATGGACAAACAGAATCTTTTCATGTTGGGGAAATTCATCTTGTAGTTGCAGTCTTTTATTCTTTTTTTGGAACTTCCATTTTTTTTTTCTTCAAGAAGTCAAAAATGTTTTGATGAAAGCATTTAGCAGGAAATAATGGGTTGGTAGGTAGGTAGGGCCTGAGGTAGGATAGAGATGAAAATAGAGGTGGATAGAAATTTAATAAACTTTTTTCTTTTCTTTCGTTCCTTTATTTCCAATATATCTGGGATAGAGTTTATAGAGTCCTTATGTATGATCATTGTTTTCATGCTCCCAGCCTTGTGAATTTACTGCCTCATGTAAAGCAGGCTTTTCTGATCAGCCAGAGAGGAGAACTGCGAAAAGACAAGCAGTTTTCCTTCCCTACTCCTGTCTCTGCAGGAAAAATCAAGTCTTACCGATGAAGAATTTGAGGAGATTGTCCAGACTGTGCTCCAGAAGTCCCTCCAACAATGCATGGTTATGGCTTGTGGTGAGAGAAAAATAGTTTCAGATAGGCAGAGACACTGTTACCTGAGGTATAGAGTATGTTGACAGCTTTACTCCTTCCCTCCATCTTTCTAAGTAAGAAAATATTAGATACAACTTTGGAATATTTTAAAAGACCTTATAGATAGGACTTTGAAATATTTTAATATACTTTATCTTCTATCAGCAGGACTGTAGCTAAATCACCTTAGATGGGGGTACAGACTTTTAGAAAAGTAGATTACATTGACTTAAGAATGTAAATATGGCCTCATCTAAATTTTTTAAATGTAATTTAAATTCATTTTTATATGTTCAGAATCTATTTAGAAAAGATCAGTTATTTTTCCCAGGTTTGAAGAACTTAGTTTCCATCTACCCTTATAATTTTTCTATTTCTTACACTGTTTCAACATATGTTAGGGATTTGATATTTAGAACAAAGCACTTCATAGTGTAGGCCCCAAGACCCTCTGCATAAGGTCATGAGGCTAAGAAGAATAGTCTGACATTTTCAGCTATTTTTAGGTGTACCTCAATTTCTAGAAGAAAGTTTGAGGAACAAATGATATAAAACATAGTACATAAAATAAAAGTTAAAATAAGCAAATTAAAAATTTTCCTGGTTATCCTGGAATGAGACAGATCAATCTGGAAATTCAGAAGGACATAGATTTGTATTTTTTCCTGAAAATTTAAAGATTTACAATTTTATGATATGACAAAACTCCAAAAGTAGACTCTTCCAGGCAACAGGTAGAAGATATTTTAATATGAGGTTACAGTTTGAAAATAATGGAGTGATTATTTTCTTTAATTACTTCTCTGCTTATAATATTTTGTTTTTGGTGGGGTGGGGGTGATGGTGGTGGTGGTGATAGAATCTAGCCTTGATTTTGCAGAGACTTCCTATGTCCAGCCCATAAGATGTACCCAGTTAGACAAGGAACCAGGAAATGCTTCTTCTACTACTGATAATGGTAACGCTAATAGGTAAGTTTATCCTTGTGAAGCAGGTTGATCACAAGGTGGACTTAATATTTACAAATGGCCTATCTGGTCATTGTTTGTATCTCTGTAGATTTCTCTCAGCTTGGGGAAGATATCTGTTTGAATGGGGAAAACTAGGCAAGTAGATAGATAAAATGACCTCAGGAGGCCTTAGGGAGCCTAGGATTCTTCTATGCTCTTAACTCTTTTCCTTGGATTCTTTTACTTTTTCATTAAAAAAAATCTTAATTTCAGAGAGAGGGTAATGGGACCTCATATTCTAGAGATTTCAGCTTCTCAGGAAGATGGAATAATTCCTAAGACAAAGACATCTAAGCCAGGCCAGCCAGATCCTACAACCTCTGAGAAGAAATTCGGTAAACTCTCCTTGAACAAAAGAAAGAAGAAAGCTCGTAAGTATAGTCAGATTTGATATCTGGCTCAAGTATTGCACTTAATCCATGAAATTAGAGAATTGGACAGTGGGCAGGCTGAAAATTTCAAACCTAAGTCTTTGAAACTATCATGTTATGATTCTTCTTCCTTCATCCTTCTTCCTGCTTTATTATCTATAAAGAATCTCTTCCTCATCTCCCTACCCTACAAATGTTTTATCTTCCCAGAAGATGAGAATATGAAGAAAGCCCAAAGTGGGTATGAGCACAGACAGAAAGATCAACCGAAGAAAATGGTTCAGGATCATTCTCAGATCAGGGACCAACAAAAAAGAGAGGAAAGTGGCTTTGGTGAGTTCAGTCATGGTTTGGAAAAACTACTTGGGCTTGAAAACTGGAGATGGAGTAGAGAGGCAGGGGTTAGAATGTTAGAGGGAATTCTGCAAATATTATAATTAATTTCTCACAGATACTTGTAGAATATGCTGCTGAGGAAGAGAGAAATATTTAATTTATTCAATTATTCATTCATATAATCCATAGTTTTTGGGTGCCTACTACATACCAGGCATTTTAGGAGGTGCTGGGTGAGTACAGAAGAAATGAATATAAGCCTGCCACAAGGGAGATAGGCTTCTAAAGAAGGCAGATAAGAAAGCTACAAGTTGGAAGTAGACCTGGGAAAGTTTCTAAGATAAGATATTGCTTGAACAAGAACTTGAAGTATAGTTTAGTCAGATGAACCAAGGTGGAAATGGGGATGGATCAGAGTGATAATTATTGTCAGAGTTATGGAAGAGAGCTAATGTTTGCAGCTTTTGGGTGTGCTGTGGAGTAGGAAGTAGCAGGGGTGAGGAAGATAAGGCTAGAGGCATGCAAGGGCCAAATCATAAAGGGCCTTACATGTGAAGCTAAGGAATTTGGATTTTATTTTACAGGTAAAGAGGAACCATTGAAATTATGTAGGGAAAACTTGATAAGATTTGCATTTTAGAAAGCTTGCTTTGGCAGTAGCGTGGAAGATGGATTTTCAGAAAGATTAGACTCACAGAATAGTAATTCTTCCAAGCAAGGAAAGTGGACAATAGCAGTGAAGAGGAAGAGACAAATTTGAGATTTTTAGGAGGCAGGATCAACATGCTATGGCAGCCAGTTATGAGAACTGAGGAAGAGGGGTGTCTCAGCCTCTAGAACAATCCTGTTTTCTGGCATGAGTGACTGAGTGGCTAAAAAAAGGTATTATCTAAAATGGAGAAGATAGCCCTGACTGGTGTGGCTCAGTGGGTTGGGCGCCATTTGGAGGACCGAAAGGTCACTAGTTCGATTCCTGGTCAGGGTACTTGCCTGGGTTGTGGACCAGGTCCCCACTTGGGGTGTGTAAGAGGCAACCGATAGATGTTTCTCTCCCCTTCTTTCTCCCTTCCTTCCCCTCTCTAAATATATAAATAAATGAACAAATAAATAAATACATCTTTAAAATGGAGAATATAGAAGAAAGAGTAAGTTTAAGTTGGTAAATTCAGCTTTGGACAAGTTAGGGGGTCTTTGATGAGATTTAGAGCTCAAGAAAGAGGTCTGTGTTGGAGATAGAAATTTGGAAGTTATCTTCTTCAGTAGGAATGGGTGAAATTTTTCCAAGAAGAAGTTGGGGAAGGAAAAGAGAACATAATAAAAAATGCTGGGGGAACATAATGTTTAAGATTGAGCAGAGGAAGAGCTAGCTGCCCAGGGAAAAAAACTAAGAACTAAGAGAAAATTAGAAAGGTAGCAGGAAAACTAGTAGAGTGTTATCACAGATGCCAGGGGAGAATAGAATTTCAAGGAAGGGAGTTTTAAAAAGTCATATATATATATATATATATATATATATATATATATATATATATATATATATATATATAGTATTTAGGCTTGTCAAATGCTACTACAGAGACATCAAAAGATAAAGATTTGAAAATGCTTAAGGGATATCGCAATTGGGAAGTCATTAGGGTCTTGATTAGAACCCTTATATGGGTTGATCAGGGTAAATGGCAGGCTATAGTTGGCTGAAGAGTAAATACTTTTTAAACTAGTTTAGATGTGAAAACTAGGAGGGATAAAATGGTAAATAAAGGGAGAAGTAAGTGTAAAGTTGAGGTAATGTTTTTCTTTTTTTAACTTTCTTTGAAAAGAAATAGACTTGACCTGTATATTATTAGCATATTTATGTGCTCAGGGAAAATTGTTTATAGAAAGGAAGAAATTGAAGGGAATGAGAAGAGAACCAGAGAATTTATTCTTAATTAGAAAGGACAACTTAGAATTTGAGTTTGGATGGAGGAAAGATAAGGATGGATATATATTTATTTATTCTTTTAACAATAGTTATCAATGCTTTATACGTCAGGCAATGTGCTAGGTGCTAGAAATATAGTGGTGAACAAAATAGATAACCCCTGAATTTATAGATTTACCGTTTTAGTGTACTGGACAGATAATAAATATTTTATATGAAGTAACCTTGGTAATATTGAGACATTTAAGGATAAGAAGTAAAATAGATCATACAGTATATTAGTACATATGTTTAAAACTTTGAAAATAAGTAGCATGAACAATCTGGAGGAAACCAGGCTTGCACACACACACATACACAGGCAAAACAGAACCCAAAGTGTAAGGAACAATGGAATAAACAATCAGCTTGTGTCTAACATGTATGTGTGTATGTATATAATTTTAATTATGGAAGCATAATATGATTTATACATACTGAAAGAAAAAGCAAGACTCCAGCAAGACTATGCAGGCACCAACAAGGTAGTCCTGGTCAATAGACCACTTCTCATGTTATTATGACATGGTAATATAAAGAACTGGAAGTATTCGTCTAATTTGGGCAGTTGGGTGAACTGGGTGGTACTGATCCATCTCCTGAACTTCTCAGTATTAGGGAAGGGATTGGACTTTAGACTGAAAGATGGAAGTTCACTCCTTAGGCAGTGCTTATGAGTCAGATTGTGGTTGTAGTGAATGTATAAGCCTTTTGCTATAAAAGAACTACTCTTTCTGTTTCTTACAGTTGCCAAGAAGAGATGAGTCCTCCTAGAGTAGGAAATTGAAAGGGGAGTATCTGATAAATACAATCAGTTTGTGTTAAGTACTATGAAGGAAAAAAAGTGGAGTGTCATGAGAGGAAATAATGAAGACCTAGTTAAAACTGGGTCAGTCAGGGAATGTATTTGTAAGGAAATGACATTTAAGCTGAAACCTGAAGGAAAGGTAAGAGTTGGAGAAAGAGTTTTAGGTAGGGTGAAGTTTGGCATACTCCAGGTACTCAAAGAAAGCTGGTGTGATTGAAATTCAGAGAGAGAGGGGAAGCAGGGAAGGAAAGTGGCTCTGGATAAATGTAAAGAGGTAAGTAGTGATGAAATCAAAGACCATGTTACAAAGTGACAATTTTTTTCAAAAGTTCAGTGGGAAGTCCCCTGGGTTTTAACCAGGGGAGTGACATCATCAAATTAATGTTTTAAAAGGACCCAGTTGGAGAATGAAGTAGAGAGGTGGGAGGACACGAGTAGACAAGTTAAGAAGTTAGTGCTAGGATTACATATTTTGGTGGCTTAGATTAGGACGATGAAAGTGGAGACAGAGCAATGGATGGTTGTAAAATACATTTTAGAGGTAACTTTGTCACAACTTGGTAATTACTTGGATATGGGGTGGGGGTGTGAGAGAGGAGAGAGTATGTCAAGGATGATTTGTTCCTGGCTTGAGGAGTACATGAAAGGAGGTGAGGAGAGGTGGAGGAAGAGCAGATTTGTGGAATAAGATTAAGTGTTTGGGTTTGGGCCCATTAGGTTTGAGATCATTGTGAGACATCCAAACAGAGTTGTCAAAGAGCTCAGAACAAAGGATGTTAGTATACATCTCTGTGTTGTTGGTAATGAAAATGTATTTCAAAACTATGGGAATGGGAGAGGTTGCCTTAGGAGAAAGTATAACATTGGGAGCAAACATCCACAATTAGGCTTTGAAAGCCCAACATTTAGAGATTGGATGGAGAACAAGGAGAATCCAGTAAAAGAGACTGAGGAGGGAGCTGCCAGAAAGAGGAGGAGGAACAGAAGAATGGATCACAGAATCCCAAGAAACTAGTGTTTCAAGAACGAGTGGTCCCTGGCTGGTGTAGCTCAGTGGATTGAGTGTGGGCTGTGAACCAAAGTGTTGCAGGTTCAATTCCCAGTCAGGGTACATGCCTGGGTTGCAGGCCATGACCCCCAGCAACCGCACATTGATGTTTCTCTCTCTCTCTTTCTCCCTCCCTTCCCTCTCTTGAAAAATAAATAAATAAATAAAACCTTAAAAAAAAACTCTTAAAAAAAAAGAACGAGTGGTCAATCGACATGATCTTATGTGTCTATGATATCAATCTTCATTATCACAGAGCCATGCTGTGAGCCTCAAATACAATTTTCAAACACATCATCTTCCTTTCTGCATTGTTTGAAAGGGTACTTAAAAGAACTGTTTGTATTGTCATTGGAAATTTCATCCCAACCCAAGTTCTATGTTATTAGGATGATATTTTACCTCACTCATTTCCTCATGAATATTCAGTATTTTGAAAACCAACCATTTATTTTCTTGATCTGTGTTTACTTTTATGGTACCCAGCTCCTTTTCCCATTCTTTTTTTCTAGTCTTGCTAGGTCATCTCTACAAACATCCAAAAATACCATTGGCAGCTGTCTTTTCAGAATAATACATTATTCTCAATTAGTACTTTGTTTTTCAAAATTAAGTAATTGAGAAAGTGACCCATAATATGCTCTTCTAATGGATGATTTTGATGGGATGAAGAGTATTCCTTATCAGGCATTTAAGGTAAAATTTGACAGTGGGAGAGTGAACTTACTAGGGAAATATATTGTGAATATATAGTACTCCTATGTGCATGGTTATGTGATTTTTCTCAGGCAACGTTCAGTTTAATGAATGTAGGCACAGAAAAGGTAGAGTGGATCTAAGGAATCAAATCTGAGTAAGTGCAGAATAAAGAAAAGAGGTTGCTACTGGATTGAGGGGAAGGTAGGGGCCAGTGGATCAGAGATCTATATAAAGTGAAAGTTGCTGTAGGGGTCTTTGAACAAGTAAAGTGCAAGGATGGAAAATTTTTATCAGAGATGGGTGTTTGGGTAAGTGGTTCAGGGAAGTATGTAGTCCCTACAGATGCCTGGGTGGGGCATGCAAGGGTAGAAGTGGGTTCCTGAAGTGGCATGGAGGAAAAGGTCAAGGAACTCAAAGAATGGCATGCTTTTTTGAGTTACCCTTCTGGAAATAGTGTCACCTGGAATGAGGGCAGCGGGTGGAGAGGAGAAGGCTGAACCAGATGTCAGCATCTTTTCAAGGGAGATGAGAAGGCAGGGTAGTTCCATGGCATGGACCTCAAGGGAGGAAGGGTTTTTATAGGAAGAAGGATGATAATGGTCTGGAAGTGGCAATAGCGAATAAGGATGATGCTGAACCCATTTTCTGGCATGAGAGACATGAGATGTATGAGAAGGAACCAACTCTATTTAGAGGGCTGTGGGTGGGGTGGGGTCAGGTAGAGACAATGTCAATTAATCACCAGGTTTCAAAAAGGAGATAGAGGTTCAGATAAGAGGTTGAGGATCTGTGGGCTTTTGTTGCTCTTATCTGGGATTCCCTCCCCTGCCCAAACACACACAGTTTAAGGATTTGGAAGGGAAAGAGGAGAGGCCGTGTGAGATACTGGATCAATTTAGAAAATGTGGGGATAGAGAAAGGTGGGGATGAAAGTTTGGTAGGTAATGGATAAAAGGAATGCGTTGCTTTTCAGCAGGGCCTGAAGTAAATAGTTGATTGAGAAATGGTGGACTTAGACCTGAGTCATTTGGAGGGGGGTGAACTCAAGGCTATATTGATCCCAAAGGCTGCAACTTGGTGATTTGGTGACAGGTAAATCAGTAACATTCAGGTAGGAACTCTGGATGTTGTACACAAAAGATGCTGGGTAGTTCTCCAAAAGAACTTTTCAGTGCTGACATGCTAATAGAGAACAAGACACTAGCCAGAAGGATGGAATCCACCCTTTTTAAGAACTGTCAATACAGGAAACATTCCTTTCTGCCCAGGGTGAAAGAGAGATGATAGCATGGTATATAGTAAAAGACTGAAATGTGAGGTCCTTGATTTTAAGTTCAGCTCTGCCACAAAGTTAGACCGAACTTCAGCAAGTCAATTATCTTCTCTCAGCCTTGGTTCCATTTATAAGTTAGGGATTGGACTGGGTGATCTCTAAGGCTACGTGATTCTGGCGGGGAGTATATTGATTTCAGTTGGATTGAAGAAGGAAGACCGTATTTTTGAGTCTCTTATTTCAGTATTTTTCCTGTCACAGGTCAATGTCTAGTCTGGGTCCAGTGTTCCTCCCCAAACTGTGAGAAGTGGAGGCAGCTTCGTGGGAACATTGACCCCTCAGTCCTTCCAGATACTTGGTCCTGTGACCAGAATACAGGTAGAATGGAGTGGAAATTTTGGGGGGGAGTTTTATTGTTCCACCCTTTCTTTTCCTGCACATATCCTTTAAATTAATTATGTTGTGGGTGTAGTTTCAATTCCAGGGGTCCTTGCAGCATATGAGAGAAAAGGATCTTCCTGTCATATGAAGTTGAATTTGGCATAATGGGCTAGAAGAAGACAACTTGAAGAGTTGTATTATGGGGTGGGTCATGGAATCCAAACGTATGTTCTGAGCAAATTTCATCTTTTGCATCATTGGTCTGACCCTGTCAATCCTGTCAGTCCTGATTATATTATTGGCAATGGGTTGGTGGATAGGAAGGAAATTTGGATATATGGGGAAAAGCAGGTGAGAGATTCAGTGGCTTAGAATTCTAGAATGTTTGAAACTACTTCAAAGAGATTATGATGTTCTAGTTCAGCCCAGTTATTTTACAGATGGGAAAACAGAGTCTCATGGAAATTATCATCATGATGTTACATAGATGGAAGCAGGGTCGGACAATGTGGGATATAGGAGAAGTCTAGAATCTCTTTCTTTAGAGTACAAGGAGGCAGCACTCTTAACTTCTGGCAAGTCCTCCATGCCCATCTCCCAGGTACCCTTTTGGTCTCACCTGCTACCTATATCAATTTCTTCTTGTCCTACCTCCTGCTGTCATCCAAGCTGTTTCCTTCCCTTCATTCCCATTCCTTCTCTCTCTCTCTCTCTCTTTTTCAGACTTGGAGTATAATCGCTGTGATATCCCTGAGGAGACCTGGGTAGGGCCTGAGAGTGAAGTGGCCTATGCCTCCTACATCCCAGGATCCATCATCTGGGCCAAGCAATATGGTTACCCCTGGTAGGGCACCATGGCATACTCAGAGCATCCTTCATGAATTTGGAAGTGGTAGATTCAAGTAGAAAGGGAAGAAAATTGAAAGCATTTACAATGGAAATGGTACCTGTTTTAGAAAGAGCATGGGGTAAGGGAAAAGATAAAGTACCAAGCTTGGAGGCTTTGAAAGAGCATGTTTTCTAGAGTTTCACAGTGGAGGTGATATCTTCCTGGAAAAAGGATCTGATAATTCTACCCTGAGTGGGTAGAAAGAGGAGGGTAGCTCTACAGCATTTTTTAAAACACTGAGATATTAAGGACAAAGTAAAGAGAACAGAGAGTAGGATGGGTAATTTCCTCTTTGGAGATGTCCTTAGTCAGAAGACTTCGTTCTCAGAGTTTCTGGAAGGCCTAAGGATAAGATACTTTTTACAAGACAGATGCTAAGCCTCTTCGTACATTCTTGGAAGTCACTTCAGTCATTTGGTAGTGAACACTGGGAGGGATTGACAGGGGCTTCTGTCTTTGGGATCCTTTGTTTACAAAACATTGCCCCTTTCTGTACATGTATATTGATGAGCTTGTGTTCTGTTCATCTAACCCCTTCTCTTCTGTCTCCTATATCCATCTTTCTTCTCCAGGTGGCCAGGCATGGTAGAATGTGATCCTGACCTGGGGGAATATTTTCTTTTTGCTTCTCATCTTGATTCCCTGCCGGTGAGTTTTCCTGATTCAGTAGGTGGTCGGGCTAAAGTAATGACCAAATTCATTCTAACAAATGTACAGGGTTAGAAATATAGTCATAGCCAGTCGACATGAGCAGAAACAGACAATTAGCTAGAGTGACAAACAGAAATAAGTACTCACATATAGAAATAAGCTTGTATCTAATTAAATATTTGTTAGGACATTTATTGTTTTCATAAATATGCTTTGGTTAGGATTCCTGAGGTCACATGGGAGAACAACAAGTTAGGTAGGTAAGATGGGTCAGGTTTAAGGGAGCAGATGAGGCCCAGCACCTCCTTCCTGTGACTCCTCAGTTCTTCCCCTGCCTTTTCTGGCTAGAGGGCCAAAGCAAGGAGAAAGACAAGAGTCCATAGCATAACCATTTTTTAAAAGAGATTTTATTTATTTAATTTTAGAGAGAGAGGGGAAGGAAGGGAGAAAGAGAGGGAGAGAAACATTAATGTGTGGTTGCCTCTCGTGTGCCCCCTACTGTGGGACCTGGCCCACAACCCAGCCATGTGCCCTGACTGGGAATTGAACCAGCAACCTTTTGGTTCTCAGGATAGCATTCAATCCACTGAGCCACATCAGCCAGGGCCATAACCATTTTTTATTTCAGTCTAAGTACCATGTGACATTTTTTGGAGAAACAGTCTCTCGTGCTTGGATCCCAGTCAACATGCTAAAGAACTTCCAGGAGCTGTCTCTGGAGCTAACTGGAGTGGTGAGCAACCTTGGGGGTCAAAATTGTAATACAGAAAACTTGAAAGCTAAATCTTCCCCTTATTAAACATGATTTTTTCCCAGGGAGAGCTGTGTCAGGAGAAAGTCCCATGTCTGACCAAGTGTGCAAGAGTGAGGTTATTCATGAGGGACTCTTTCTACCAGGATTGCAACAGGATAATGCTTTTTCTTAGTGTTCTTCCCTGCCTTCAGATGGGAGGGTTTCCTGAAGACTCTGGTTTCCTACAGTTTAGCCATAGCAGATGTGGCAGAAAGGAGGGCACAGATTAATTCAGGGTTCTCAGGCTAGGCACCTGACATTTTGAGCTAGAGAATTACTTGTTGTTGAGGACTGTCCTGTGCTGTGTAGGATGTTTACCAGCATTCCTGGGCTCTACTGACATCTTAACCAGTAGCAACTCCCAGTTTGTGACAATCAAAAAGTTGTCTCTAGATGTTGCCAAATGTCTCCTGGGGGGCAAAACCTCCCCTGGCTGAGAATCACTGCATTAACTAAATGATAGTTCTTCCCTATAACCACTTTGGGTTTGGCCAGCCTTACAAATGAGCAGGGGTCCAGCAGCTCGGGGGCCTTAGAAAATGAGGCAGTGAGTATTAGCACCTAGATCTAAAGAAATTTGTGAGAAGCTTGAAAGTGTAATAATCTGAACTCCTTTAATCTTGCCTTTTCAAATTTCCATGGAATTTACTTTGGAGAGGACACCAAATTGTTGATTGAAAATATTGCTGAGAATTGGAGAAGAGTTTTTGTTGTGGGCTAAGAGGGAATTGCATTCCTGAACCCAAAAGATTAATAAAAATATCATATCAATATCAGGAACCAAAAGTAAATGCAGTTAAAGGTAATGTCTGGTAAACAGCAGTATGGTGGGGTCACTTCTCTAACTTGTATCATGACTCTAATCTTCCATTTCAGAAAAAGTGCAGGAACAAGGACTATTGCCAGAAACTGCGGGTAGCCATGATAATGGCTCAAGAGGCAGAACAGATCAGTATTCAGGTGGGAGAGTGTTTAGACCACATATTAGCTCCTCTTTGGGACTTGAGATCCAAAGCAAACCATACATTCTTTATGCAGAAATCCAGTTTGTCCTTCCCCATTACACAGTCTTAGTTTTAGAACTATGTAGTCTTTTTTTTACCAAGCCAAATTCCCTTGATTCCTTAACTCATCCCTTCTTTTACCTGCCATTGCACAAATGGGATCTTCTCTCAGCCCAGACATAGTTTGTGGTAGGGGGCATCCTCCATTTCTATTCTAACTTCAAGCCTCAGATGTATGTACCCTAACTTCCCTTTTATGCAGAGTCAGTTTTTACCCTCACAGTCGGCCTTTAGGGGTAGGGTGAAGTCTGACAAACAGTGAATTTCCCCTTCCCAATTATTCACTGAATTATAAACTGGGAAAGTGAAGATATATTACATAATTATATATTATTTTACTATAATACTATAATAGTTAATCTCCACAAAAATCTAGATGAATCTACTGTGAGATTTCAAGTGAAAATGGTATGCAATATGAATTTACATTCCATAACTAAATCTTGAAATCAGAGGGCAACAATAGTAACTGGGAGAGTAGTAGATGATGCTTTTGTTTTTCGGTTCTCTCAGGATCGGGTTACACTGTTTGGTTTCTGGAGCAGATACAATGGATCTGACCATTGTAGGGAAGGAAAAGGTAGGATATGTAGGAGGATGAGGACTAAAGAGGGAGAGGAGGGATTCTTTCATTAGGCCAGCAACTGAAACTTAACTTTATTTTATGTCTAATGTCATCAGCCTAGTTCTTGATTTTATAATAGTAGGCTTTCCATGAATACTGTTGACCCAGTGTTGGGGATAGATAGATGGATGGATGAGTGGAGAGAGGAATGGAGGAGAAAAGGGGACAGGGAGGAAGGGTACACATTGAATAATGATAGGACTTAGAAAAGGGTTGAACCATGATAATCTAGGGTCATGTTTTTCTTTTTTTTTTAAGATTTTATTCATTTATTTTTTAGAGAGAGGGGAAAGGAAGGAGAAAGAGAGGGAGAGAAACATCAATGTGTGGTTGCCCCTTGCACTCCCCCAACTGGGGACCTGGCCTGCAACCGAGGCATGTGCCCTGACTGGGAGTCGAACCAGTGACCTTTTAGTTCGCAGGCCTGCGCTCAATCCACTGAGCTACACCAGCCAGGGCCTAGGGTCATGTTTTATGGAGAAAATACTACTTGGACATGAAGGGCGGGGTTAGAAGACTAATTCTCTGGGATCAGTTCTATTAACTAACTCATCACCTATTTTACTGAATAAATGATTTAGCTTTTCCTTCCTATTCCTGTTCTAGACTTAATGCTTTCTGGGGCTAAAGGCCCAGATCTCTCCTTGGAGAAAGAGGAAGACTCAGACTTGGAGGAGGAGGAGGAAGGAAAAAAAGTAAGATTGATCTTTAGGACTCCCTTTAGGATATTCCTACAGGGCATCTGGTTGGCATGGTCTTATTATTTCCTAAAGAACTGTCCTGACTGGTCTTATCTCATAGAGGTCTTAAGCAAAGGACACTCTCCTGTATCCTTGGTTTTTCTCTCTAATATATCAGACCTCTAAGAACTTATTTCTTTTAAAAAATTTGTATTGGTTGATTGACTTGAGAGAGAGAGAAGCATCGATTTGTTGTTCCACTTATTTATGCATTCATTGGCTAATACAGTTCTTGTATGTATCCTGACCAGGGATCAAACCTGTAGTCCTGGTGTATTGGGATAACTCTCTAACTAACTGAGCTACCTGACCAGGGCTAGAAACTTATTTCTTGATTACCATCTCAATTCCTACTGTAGTTCTTTGGTTATTACTGGAGCAATTTCAGAGAATACCAGGTTGCTTCTCTTTACTCTTCCTTCCTACTATGTGGACACTTAGGATATTCATTCACTTGTTTCCTTAGTCTCTTCTCAGGCACATGAAATATAGATTTGCTTTTCATAAAGAGATTTTTAGAGTGGTACTGGGGTCACAGTAAAACTGAGAGGAAGGTACAGAAAATTCCCATATACCCCCTTCCTTAAACATACATAGCCTCCCCTATTATCAACATCCCCCACCAGAGTGGTGCATTTGCTATAATCAATGAACCTACATTGACACATCATAATCACCCAAAGTCCATAATTTACATTATGATTCACTCTTGGTGTTGCACATTCTATAGGTTTGGACAAATGTATCAATGACATGTATCCATCATTATAGTATCATAGAGTATTTTCACTGTCCTAAGGATCCTGTGTTCTCCACCTATTCATCTCTTTCCCTAATACCCCTCAACCTCTGACAACCACTGATCTTTTTATTGTCTCCATAGTTTTGCCTTCTCCAGAATGTCATATAGTTGGAATCACATAGTATGTAGCCTTTTCAGACTGCCTTTCACTTAGAATAATGCATTTAAGGTTCTTCCATGTCTTTGCATGGCTTGATGGTTCATTTTTCTTTTATTTTCTGAATAATGTTCCATTTTTTGATGTACCACAGTTTATCCATTCACCTACTAAAGGATATTTTGTTTGCTTCCAAGTTTGGGCAATTATGAATAAAGTTGGTATAAATATCCATGTACATGTTAAGTTTTCAACTCCTTTGGGTGAATACCAAGGAGCTCGATTGCTGGATCATATGGTGAGAGTATATTCAGTTTTGTAAGAAAACACCAAAGTGTTTTCCAAAAAAGCTGATATATTTTTGCATTCCCACCAGCAGCAAATGAGAGTTCCTGTTTCCTCACATCCTTGCTAGCATTTGATGTTGTGTTTTGGGTTTTGGACATTATAATAGATGTGTAGCATTATCTGATTGTTTTAATTTGCATTTACATGATGACATATGTTTAATATCTTTTCATATGCTTATTTGCTATCTGTATATCTTCATTGGTAAGGTTACCATTAAGGTGTTTGGTCCATTTTTAATTGGGTTGTTTATTTCTTATTGTTGTGTTTTATGGGTTCTTTATATTTTAGGTAAGAGTCCTTTATAAGATGTACCTTTAGCAAATATTTTTGCTCAGTCTGTGGCTCATCTTCTCATCATTTCTATAGCATACCACTCTTTAAAAAACACAATTAGGTGAATCTATTTCTATTTTCTTATTTTTCTGTCTCATCCTTAGCGCCCAACTTTGCCTACTCCCAAGCCAGCCAAAACTCAGACAAAAAAACCCAAGGCAAGAGGTAAGCAAGCCATCTGGAAATGGGACATGTACTACAGTTAAGGCAGGGGAGAAATAGAGAGTGTAAGGGGTCTGCAGGTAGCTGGGAACTTATTGACTGTCTCAGCTCCAGAACCTGAGAAAACAGGCAGGATTTATGAGTGTCATTGGAGAAGCGGTAGCCTCCTATATATTGAATTATAAATTCTTAGGAATGAATGTTTTAAATTCTTAGCCAAGAAGGATGACTTCTTGGAGAAGGCAGGCTATGAGGACTACGATAAAATGAAGATGATGGGGGTAGAGGAGAGGAGGGGTAAGTATTTGGGAAAAAAAGAAACTGAGAGAATTTACTAGATTAAGATTAGTAGAAGATGCAGGGCAGAGACTTAAATGTGGGAACTACATGGACCCTTGACAAGCTGTTATTTAAAGAGAAGTAAACAGACTTTTGGCCAAGATGGAGGCATAAGTAGACACACTGTGCCTCCTTGTACAACCAAAAGAAGGACAACAGCAAACTTAAAAACAAAAAATAACCAGAACTGACAGAAAATCGAACTGTATGGAAGCCCGAAAACCAAGGAGTTAAAGAGGAAATATTCATCTAGACCGGTAGAAGGGGTGGAGACAGGCAACCAGGTGGAGAGGACTTGCAGCAAGGCAGTGACTGGAGGACCAGGGTAGGCAAGGCAGGCTGGTGGATCTGGAGAGGTGGCGGCTGGCAGACAGGGTGGTCCCACATTTGCGTGCAGATAAACCAGGTGACACAACTGGGGAACGAGACAGACTGTGCAACCCAGAGTTCCAGCACAGAGAAATAAAGCCTCAAATCTCTGATTGAAAACACCTGTGGAGGTTGAGCCGACAGGATAAATGTCTTACTTCACAGGAGAGTTTGTTGGAGAGATCAGCAGGGTCCTAGAAAGTATATAAACCCACCCACCCAGGAATCAGCACCAGAAGGGCCCAATTTGATTGTGGTTAGCAGGGGAAGTGACTGAAAACCAGGAGAGAGCAGAACAAGTGCCATTGTTCCCTCTTGGACCTCTCCCCCACATACAGTGTCAGAATGCAGCAATGTGGGTTGCTCCACCTTGGTGAACACCTAAGGCATGAACACCCTTACTAAATGACCCAAATGAAAGAACAGATCAAAGCTCCAGAAAAAATACAACTAAGTGATGAAGAGATAGCCAACCTATCAGATGCATAGTTCAAAACACTGGTAATCAGGATTCTTATAGAATTGCTTGAATATGGTCACAAATTAGAGGAAAAAATGAAGACTATGCTAAGCGAAATAAAGGAAAATGTATAGGGAACCAACAGTGACGGGAAGGAAACCAGGACTCAAATCAATGGTGTGGACCAGAAGGAAGAAATAAACATTCAACCAGAACAAAAGGAAGAAACAAGAATTCAAGAAAATGAGGAGAGGCTTAGGAACCTCCAGAACATCTTTAAACATTCCAACATCCTAATTATAGGGGTGCCAGAAGGAGAAGAGGAAGAGCAAGAAATTGAAAACTTATTTGAACAAATAATGAAGGAAAACTTCCCTGATCTGGTGAAGGAAATAGACTTCCAGGAAGTCCAGGAAGCCTAGACATTCCCAAACAAGTTGGACCCAAGGAGGAACACACCACAAGGCACATCATAATTACATTACCCAAGATTAAAGATAAGGAGGGAATCTTAAAAGCAGCAAGAGAAAAGGAGACAGTTACCTACAAAGGAGTGCTCATAAGACTGTCAGCTGATCTCTCAGAAGAAACCTTGCAGGCAAGAAGGGGCTGGAAAGAAGTATTTGAAATCATGAAAGCCAAGGACTTATATCCAAGATTACTCTATCCAGCAAAGCTATCATTTAGAATGGAAGGGCAGATAAAGTGCTTCCCAGATAAGGTTAAATTAACGGAGTTCATCATCATCAAGCCCTTATTATGTGAAACATTAAAGGGACTTATCTAAGAAAAAGAAGATAAAAAATATGAACAGTAAAATGACAACAAACTTGCAGTTATTAACAACTGAACCTAAAACAAAAACAAACTAAGCTAACAACTAGAACAGGAACAGAATCACTGAAATGGAGATCACATGAAGGGTTGTCAGCGGGAGAGGGGGAAAGCATACAGAGAATAAGTAGCATAAATGGTAGGTAGAAAATAGACGGGGAGTTAAGAATAGTATAGGAAATGTAGAAGCCAAAGAACTTATATGTGTGACCCATGGACATGAACTAAAGTGGGGGAATGTGCATGGGAGGTGGTATACAGGGGGAGAGGAGTGAAGGGGGGAAAATGGGACAACTGTAATAGTATAATTAATAAAATATATTTAAAAAAAGATCAAATGGCAACAAATTCACACTATCAGTAACTGAACCTAAAAAAAAAAGCAAAAAAAAAATAGAGAAGTAAACAAATGTTCTTCATGGTTGGGGGTTGGGGTGATGTAGGCACAGCAGATGGACAAGACGGGGCTCAGCAAGGGAAGTCGATGAATAGACCTTTGGGAAATGAACCTGCAGCTGTCCCTGTACCCATAAAGGGAAGGAAAGAAGTACACGGAAGTTCAGATCCTGATGAACCAGGTAAAACTCTTCTTGGAAAAAAGTTTGGGGAAATAGTCTTTATGTCTGTATGTGTCCTCCTGAATAATTTTAAAACAATTCTACAGATTTTCATTTATTTTTTAAACATAATCAAATATATATATATATTTAATTTTAATTGTTCAAGTACAGTTTTCTGACATATTTTCATTACTTTAAAAAGAACAAAAATTAGGTCAAAAGGGCATCTCTCAGACTGTAGAATGCAGTACACACTATAGAAACATAATGGTTGTGGATTTGACCGAGAAGAGTAAGGAGGCAGGAACTAACATTTATTGAGTATTGCTATGCACTGGCTACATAGATATGTCCATACCAGTTCCCTTTAATTTTTTCAATATCTCTATGAATGGATATTTGCCATTTGGACAATAAGGCCTTAGACTGAAGCTCAAAGAGTTTAAACTTTACTCAGGACTCATGTGTCTAGCATATGGTCAATCCATGGCTTGAATCCAGGTCTTTCTGACTACAAAGCCCATTTCTTTCTATTGACAAAAGTAATCTTTTCCAGAGATTTTTTGGGAATAGAAATTTAGAAGTTTGATTTATAAAAGATAAGGACAGATGACCAAATAAGACTCTCAGTTTTGTCACTTTTTCATTTAGGTCCTAAGAAGAAATTTAAAGCTCCCCAAAGCAAGGTGTCAGCAACCAGCTTGTCTGAAAGAAAGGAGGTTAGAATGGTGCCAAAGGGCCTGATCCTACCAACCCATCACGGGGCCTGTCCTTCCATGGGGAGAGAAGAGCCCGGATCTCAGGAACTACAGGAGGCTGGAAGCTTCCCCTCTGATGATGAAACCTCCAGTGGCCTGGACCTTGAGCAACTCATGGAAGATGTTAGGAAAAACACAGAGCAGGGGGTGGAGCTGCAGCATAGAGATGACACAGAGGAGTTTACCTTCTTTGAGGAGTAGTTCTGTGTTTGTGTTCTATCCCCTCTTCCCTGGGAGCAAGAGGGAGAGCCTTTCAGAGGGCCCCAGAGAATTGTTTAGATTGGTCATTGACTACAAGATTAATAAGTGGCTAAAGTCAGAGTTGTATGTTTTATGTGTTAATAAAATAGGTTACTGGTTTAATTGGTTTGTCTCTAATAATGTGCTTCAACTTGGCTTCTCTCCCTCCATGTCACTGTGGCACATCATTGTGGCTGGCAGGAGAACTGCGCAGCATAGGAATCTGGGAAGGCAAAGGCACCTGAGTTCCCGGAGAGGGACATGGAGAAGGGCAGGTCTGGGTTCACACCTGGCTCATCATTTACTAGCTGTGTGGCTTTAGGAAAAGCACTGTAACCATTCTGTTTCTTTGTTTTATGTCTCAAATGAGCACATCCAATAACATACAGGGTTGTTGATGTTTAAATCAGGTGGTGCATAAGAAAATACATGCCAGTTATTATTGTAAGGACAATAGAATAGTTAGATTGGGGGAGACCTTGGGTTCTAAGCTGCCTACCAGTTTTGGGAGACTTACTATATTGTTTCCAGGCCTGAGGCAATCACTGAACTAGAGGAGGGATCTTGGGTGTGTGCTATTACAGTTCATTTTTGGTGAGAAGGACAGAAGTTGAAGGTGACATCATTTTTCTCCTTAGATGGCATTTAGATAAATCCTACATGTTCTTTTATTTTTGTGGGCAAGAAGAAGAGGGAACTGGAGCAGATGGCTGTTTCTCTCAGGTCCTTGGTGGCCTTTGATGTCTGTTGACTTCTGAGTCATCTGTGACTGGCTGGGACTATTATGGGAAGTGGTGATCCCTGTGAGCAGCTTTCTGTAAGGAGGTCATCATTCAGTCCCACTCCTTAGACCTTTAGCATAGAGTATAGGGTCTCTTCCTGGGGGCTGTTGTGGACAGGGTGGCAGGGAGGTGCTGATGGTGAGGTCGAGCTGGCATGGACGAGGGAGGCATAGAGGACACCATCAACCTGGGTGAGAACAGAAAGAGAAGGGGCTGAAGTGGAGGGGAGCTGACCCCATCTGAGAACAGTGATCCCACACCTAAGAGCCCTGCCGGTACCACAGTCCCCCTATATGTCCACCCCACCTTCTCCAAGCTTCCCTCTAATTCTTTCAGGCTCTAGTCTGAGCTGCTTACCTTTGGGTCCAGCTTGGGGTCTTCATGTTGTCCTAGGAAAAAAATCAAGATGTGCCAGGGTCAATGGCACAGCAGCCAGGGTAGAGAAGTGGGTGGAGGGCTCAGCAGTGAGGTCATCTGCCAGTTTAGGACCAAGGTCACACAGGAGGGATGGGAGAGGCAGGGGAAAGAGGAAGGGTGTGGGGAGAGAGTGTGGGGAAGAAGGAAGGGCCAAGGTGGAGAGTGGGCAGTGACAGTGGTAGAACTGACCTGTATTCCCAATGTTCTCATACTTCTCCTCAGTGTTATGGAAGGATCCCCTGCATGGGAAGGAGAGGGTGGGAAATGTGTCAGAGGCTGAGCAGACAAGAGCTAAGGCCTGCACCTGGCTGGTGTTCTTGTGGGAGGTTCTGCGAGCTGCTTGGACATACTTGGAGGGTGTAGGCAATGGTTTGAGGCTCTCAGAATTGGAGGCTCTTCCAATGCCTGGAAGAGCGTTGAAAGGCGATTTGTGGTGCAGCCCAGGAGAGGTCCCTGAGTGCCAACAGGAAGAGGATTGTTCTAGGGAAGCCACTTTTGTAGGAAGGGGGCACGGGAGGAGAAATTGGAAGGGTGAGTTCCTGTCCCCTGTGCTGGCCCTGCCTTGGTTAAGACTGGAGAAGGAAAACCAGGAGGCTCATGTCATGGCCTCTGGCTGGGTGCTCAGGCCTTGGTCCCCAGGAGGAGATGCCATCCTGGGAGGGGAGCCGAGGAAGGCAGCTGGCAAAAAGTCAGGGAGGCAGAGAAAGGAGAGAGGGAGAAGGGTGAATGTGGAAATGGGAAGAAGGATGGAGCAAAGGAAACTGGTGGGAGGGAGAAGAGGACGGGAAGGGCACAGAGAGGAGGCCAGGCTGGGAGCTCGGTGGGGAAGGTGCTCTGAGAAAAGGCAGATGTTAGAGGTGATGGAGGCCACGAATCCCGTGGCCCCTCCTGGCACCTCAGCAGGGAAAGGCAGATTGGACAATGAGCAAGAAAGAGGGAAAAGTGTGGAACAGGGAAATGCGTTTGGAAAGGGTAATGTTCAAGGTGGAAAGAAAACAGGATGAACAGAAGGAAAAGCTGAGAATTGGCCACGAAAGGAGGAGAAAAGGGGATACTACAGAAAGAGAACTGGGAGACACTCTGGGAAAGAAGCAGAGAAACTGCTGGAACACCTAGGTCCACTGTTCTTTATTTTTATTTTTTGCTTGTTCTTAGGAGCCGAAGCCTCCAGAAATAAAGAGCCCAGCCTGTTAGGGATGTATGAGGATGTTACTAGGAAAGTCAAGGATGAGAGCAGCTGTGAAAGGGTCTCTCTCACTGTTCTCATAACTACACCTCTTGTTTCCCAGAGCAGTGCCCCCCACTTAGAGGACAAGCACTTACGTGTCTGGGGCTCTTGCTTTAGTCTGCAGAGCTGTAGAGGAATCGATAGCATGTCAGTGCGTCATACATGAACAGTATCTCTCCTCCTGTCTTCTCTGCTCTGTCCTACTCTGACACCACCCTTGGATAAACCAGGGCAGCAGAGCAGCTCTGCTGAAACCCATGTGAAAAGGGCCTGGGACTCAGAGCAAGCACCCAGCTGGCACCCTAAAGCCACCCACTCCTGTCTTGCTATTGTCCTCAACACCAAATCAGGAAAGCTCTCTGCACCCAGTGTCCCCTTCACCCTGCCCGTCTCCCTAACTTTCTCTCTGTTTCCTGCCCCTTTCCTTGACCTCCCTGCAATCCCCCAACCTGCTCCCTCCACTGCTGAGCCCTGGCCACCCACCCCTCACTACCCTCTCTTGTCACAGGCACCATCGCTCCCTCCTGCCCTGACAAACCAGCTTCTTGTCATTCCTTCTGAGTGGTGGCTCCTTCTCTTTCCCACCTTGTGAACCTCATGTCTGGAATCTGTGTTTGCCCTGCAGCCTGTTCCTCTTTTCCACTGAGGACTCTATTACCTAGCCGACCCCTCTACCCCTGCCCCACAAACACCCTATCCCCCCTCCAGATCCTCCTCAAGTCTCTACAGCATTCCCCAGGCATATGGTCCCTGGTTCACACACATCCTGTCCACTACCAACCACCCTCCCTGGGAGGTGTCATCACCCACAGGGACAGTCCTCTAACATGCCAGACTCACTCATTCCCCCCCAATTCCAATGACCTCCACCTCACTCAGCCATACCCTGACCTTTATTTTTTTAATCACTGCGAATGAGAACTCTAAAACTACATGCTAGTGTCATTTTTATGCTGCAACTTTCTTTCCTCCCAGCTCTCTTTTGTCACCTTCCCCCTACACCCGTGCTTTGACCTCCCTGAGCTCTTGTCCCCTGACAATGCACTTTCTTTCAGGTTACCTAGAATGTCTGCGAGTCCTCCACTCTCCGTCTGGACCCTTTTACCAGCTCCTTGACCTCCTGAGTTCCCTTGTCCTGCAACACTGAGCCGGCAAACCTCCGATCCTGCATGCGTCTCTGGCATGGCATGCTATTTGCTTATCTAGTATCCATTCACCTCTTCTTTCTCAGTTACAGAACCTTGATTTTATTTGGAGTGGCCATGTGCTCCCCTACAGATAGGTGTGGGACATATGACTAAACTCTAACCAATGAGATATAAGGGGACATGCGGGTAGGACTTCCAGGGAGGCTCCTGGACTTTAGTACATTTTCTCTTCTCCAACCCTCACCCTTTCTCTCTAGAGGACAGATAATTGGGTCATAGCCTTTTTGTCCTTTCCTCCTTCCTCCTGTTTCCTGCTTGGATTCAGAAATAATGGCTGGGATCTTAGAAGCCACCTTGGACCACAAGGAAACAACCTTCAGGACAGTGAGGACAAAGGTGGGAGCCTAAGTACCTATGGACAGTGGGTTCTGCAATCTGCCTCCAGATCCTTTTATAGACGGGGGAGTGTGTGTATGGGGGGGAATCCTCTGTCTTATTTAAACCATTGTTACTCGTGGTCTCTAGTGCTGACTGGTGAACACAAGCCCTAACCAATAAGCCCTAAAGGTTTCTAAACTGCATGGTTAAATACTGCCGAGGAAAAACACAATCATGTGCAAGGATGCTTTTACAGATTTATGGCTTCTTATCTGAGTCAAATCTGTTAATTACAATCTTTTGTTTCGTTGGTGACTATGTCACATTTTTTCTTCGTATATGATCCTTATCCTTACTTTTAGAAGAAACCACTGTGGTGTTTTCTTTATAGAGTATTAAAAAATCTCATTTTATAAAAAGATTTTATTTATTCATTTTTTTTTTTAGAGAGGGGAAGAGAAGGAGAGAGGCAGAGAAACATCAATGTGTGGTTGCCTCTTGGGCACCCTGTACTGGGGACCTGGCCCCTAACCCAGGCATGTGCCCTGACTGGGAATCAAACTGGTGCTCCTGTGGTTTGCAGCCCATACTCAATCCACTGAACCACACCAGCCAGGGCAACAATCTCAATTTTTATGAAGTTGAATTTGTCAGTATTTTTATTCATTGCCTTTCAGTTTTATGTCATGCTTTGAGAGGTCATCTCTATACAATGGTTTCAGCACTACGTATTGAATTACTCATCTTTTTCTATTAATTAGAAATTTTACCTTTTAATTTACTAAATTCCTTCATATATTTGGGTCTATTTTTATCTTGTCTATATTAGAGTTTTTTCTATTCTTCCATCACTTTATCTGTTATATATTTATCTATTATATGCTGGTGTTGCATCACTTTAATTATTGTAGCTTAAAAATTATATGTTAATGTTCATCTAGTGCTTACTTTGTGCCAAGGTCTATTCTAAATGCATTATGTTTAACTGTCACGACAACCCCCAGGATAATTACTATTATTATCCCTATTTTACTGATGAGTAGGTTGAGGCACAGAGTAATAGCACCTCCAGAGCTGACCCAGCCAATTTGATGGCAGGCAGTCAGATTCTATGCTCTTCACCTTTGTGCTTTAATATCTAATGGGGGAAACCTTGTAGCAAATTTTTAAAAGTAATTTCAAATCAATTTTGATGCTGTTGGGGCATAAATAATTAATGCCTCTAACTGTGCTCTCTTTGAGCTGTTAACACAT